TAAAGAAATCAAGAGACATTGCTCTTATCACCCTCTCCCATTTTCTTTCATTAAACAACACATGTTCGGTCAATTTTTTTTTAAAAAAGTAAATCCAAAAGTCATTTGGTAAAAACATATAAAGAAAAACTTAAAGGAAATAAACATACCAAAGAGTTCCATACCAAAGAGTTCCATCCTTAACATCATCACTCATTATGGGCAAGCTTTTCAATATCATCCACATCTTTCTTAATTAGCTGCTTGGTCGCTTGAACGGTGATAGAAAAAAATATCCATTCAATAAAGAAAACACAAAGAAATTTACGTTTCAAACTAATTACAAATAATTAAGCGAATCAAATATGTCAAAAACAATCAAATAAGTGGAAAAGCATTATATTAATAAAGAGAAGACTTCACCGTCTATGATACTATTTCTTTTAGTATCCAAAACATAATGGAAAAAAATAAACAAATGGATATTACTTTTGACTACGACTGAAAAGTTATTTTAAGCCGAGGGCTATTGGTAACCTACAAAGCATCAAAAAACTAATAAAATATCGAAATATGTTATAATCAATAATCAAACTTAAGCATATTTCATTCAAATATAAATCAATAACGATTTTCATATTTCTTGGTTTTTTTTTTATAGAAAATGGAAGTAGTTTTATTTTTTTGTCAACTTTGGAGTGCATAAATAGAAGAATTTTAATAGCTCCCTTAAATCATTACAACATAGGAGAAAATGAAGAACACCAAAGAGAAAGCATGAAAAAGTTAAAATTCACGTGATTTAATTATGAAAATCTGATAATCTATGATATGCAATAGTCTAGGATATGCAATAGTAGTAAACTTTTTTGAAACCGAAAAGCTAACAATAACCTATTCTAATGAATAATTTCAAGATCCCTAAAAGATCATATGAAAAGAATGATCGAAAATACTTTTATTAACCAATGAATTAAAAGGATTCAAAAATTTACAATCAATCATATATCCTATATAAATATTTAGTTAATTACCCATATCAATTATTATGATTTGGGCATTGTTTTTTTAACACTCACATGCATTAGTAATTTTAGTATGGTATAAGTTTAAATGGTTAACCCAACCAATTTTTGTAAATGTTTGTAAAATCAATTGCATTGGTTTATAATGAAAATGTGATAAAAATGTTGAAGCTAGAGTTAACGCACATGCATTCGTTTTTTTATAAAATATATAATTTTTTTTTGTGAAACATGGTGTGACTTCATAACCTTTTATACTTGTGGTTTCAATTTTTATATTTAAAATTTGCAGAAAGTTGCTCCAAGAAATGTGAGTGTGTGTTTCCCTGTTTATCTCACAACAAGGCCCACACCTCCTGACCAACATGCTTGACAAATTTGAAATTGTTTTCATTAGACATGTCAACTTTAACAATAAGATGGATCTCGAAGAAAATAAAAGTATCAATTTTTATCTAGGAAGTTTTGAATATTTGTATTGTCAAAGCTTTCCATCCCAATCTTGGAGGGATTCTTTCATAGGGTAGTCGGATTTTTCCTCTTTCATAAAAAATTAGTACAATTGAAAACTAATACACAACAAAAGATATCCATACGTTTTTAATATCTATAATTGCAAATAGCCAAACGTAAGCACCCCATTTTACCATATATATGAGAAACAACAAAAAGTTAGAACTAATTTGACAAATGCACAAATTATCTAGTTTCTACTCAACCATGTTAGAATGGATTTACTATTTAATATCAAAATACAATGACAACAATGAAATCTATTTTTAAATTATAACAGTCTTCTAAGGTTGCAAATTATTATAGTTGTCAAGGTCACGTTATAGTATTTTACATCTATGTGATCTATTCTAGGGATGTTGATCGGGTAAATTTTTCGGGTTTCGGGTAATTCGGGTCGGGTAATTTGGGTTTTTCATATTAAAAAAATTATCCATTACCTGACCCAAACTAAATTCGGGTAATTCAGGTTTGGGTAATTCGGATGGTGGGTCGGGTAAGGGCAATTCGGGTATTACCCATTTTTTTATTTATGATTTTTTAATGGCACCTAAAAAATAAATTTAGTGAAATTTAGTGAAATAAGCATTTACCAAAAAACCTCACGTCTTTAATCTAGAAAACATAGAAAACCATTACATTTTATAAAAATAATAACATGTCATGTTCCAAAAAACATTCATAAATATATTCGTCTTCTTGCATCTATTGGTTCTTCTTGCACCTTCACTACTTCATATTGCTCAATTCTATATAAAAAAAGTGAAATAATGTTAGTATTAAAAGGAAAAGATATTAAATTTACAATAATTAAAATAATGAACGATAAACAATTACCTTTGTGAATTTGTTGATTTTCTTCCCAATCTTTTTCATAATCGATTGTGTCACTTATGCTACCCCGAATCCAATCTTTTGTACAAATTAAACTTTCAACTATCTTAGGAGTCAAAGAACTCCTAAACGGATCCAACACCCTCCCACTAGTGCTAAAAACGGATTCTGAAGCCATGGTTGAGACGGGAATGGCAAACACCTCTCTTGCCATCAATGATAGAATCGGGAATCTCAGACTATTCACTTTCCACCAATCTAGAATATTAAAAATTTCTGAGTCGTCTTCAACACTTTCTTGAAAATACTTTTCTAACTCCTCAATTGATTTAACTATGTTCGTCTTCATCTTTTCTCTTAGTTTATTTCTCAATGGGGGATTAGGTGCCATAAGATATCGGTTTTGGCGTTTCCCTAGTATCGATGATGAAGTGGTAGACTCGGCAGTAGTTAAAGTAGAACTTGGAGAATGAATTCTAATATAATCATTATATAATTCATACATAGAATTCATGGTATATTTCTTTTTGGCCTCCACCCCCTTTTCTCCATAACGATCCTCAAGTAGTATAACCAAATACTTTACTTTGTTCCTAGGGTCAAGAATCAAAGCAAAGTAGAACAGTAAATTTATTTTTTCTATGTCACCAAAATTCTTATCAAACTTTATTTTCATGCCCAACACAATATCACAAAGACTGGAATCGGAAATAGCATCATCCAAGAGCGTACGAATGGAATATATATATATATATCTTCAATGCATTTGTTTGATGTCACATAAAGTGTCATAGAAATCCGATGTTATGAAAAGGTTTCAAAAAATGACATACATTCCTAACTATTTCCGAATCGTTTGATGAAGGTATCGACCAAGCCACCTTTTCAATTTCGTACCGAAAATCAAATTCCTGAAGATCATATCTCTCAAAAGTTTTTTCTTAAGCTTGTGTAATTTCCAACATATGGTAAGTAGAGTTCCATCTTGTTGGCACATATCTCTTCAAGTGTTTTGTTATACCGGGATTAGCAACCTTAGCAAACTCGGTTAACTTATGAATTCTAGAAGGCGATTGCCTAATCCATTTAACCACCCATCGAACTATCTCAACCGCCTTATCAACTTTTTTATGCCATCTTACACCACTAAATTTAAAATGTGGGCAACACATCGAATATGCATCCATTTCCCATTTAGAAGACACTTGTTGGAGTTTTGAAAACTTTTTTGAAGAAGTCAATTGCCACATCATTCGCACTTGCATTGTCAACATAAATTGTGAAAACATTTTCTATTTCCCACTCCATTAAACATTTCTCAACCATTTTCCCAATATCAACCCCACGATTACTCTCTTGAGAAGAAAAACACAACACTTTTTTTTTCAATTTCCATTCATTATCAATAAAGTGGACGGTGAGACACATATAACATGATTGTTGTTTAGAAGTCCACGTATCGGTGGTCAAACATATTCTACAAACATTTTTTTAAGAAAGTCACAAATTTTTTCATTTTCGTCTAAAAACAATTGGTAGACATCCGTTGTGCTTGTACTTCTACATGAAACTTTAAACAATGGTTGAGTGACACTATTGTAATACCTAAATCCCGCACCTTCTACAAAGCTAAAAGGAAGTTCGTCAACTACTAACATGTGAGCTAGAGCCTTCCGACTCCCATTTTGATCAAATTTCCAAGTTGACAATTTGTTTTCATCACCATATTGGAAAGCTAATTGTTTTTGCCCACCACTAAGTTTATTCAAGTAAACTTTACATTTGGTTAAATGATAACCTAGATTTTTGGTTCCATAACCACTGGATTCGCACTTGTAATTCCTACCACCACAATGCTTACATTTTCATTTTTGAACACCCTTTTCGTCCTTATAACTTTCAAATTCCTTCCAAACTTTCGATCTTGGGTTGAATTCTTTAGTTTTTTCTCTTTTTCTTGTCGGACTTGATCATTAGTTGCGTTTTCAACTTCAATCGTGTCATCTTCCACTTCAATATAGTCATTCGTTTTTGACATCTAAAAAAACCAGAAAAAGTGTTAAGAAACATGAAAATCAGGAAAAAAAATGACAACGAAAGGTTGGTCTTTGAAAATATTCAAAGTTTTAATGCAACAATTTGGTAGATGTTCAAAGTAAAATATTTTTAAAAGAAAAAAATTGTCATAATACTTAAAAAAATTGTCTTAATAAAGTAAAAAGTTCAGCATCTTATAAAACCATAGGGCAATTTCTTATCCGTTGCTTCTAAATAACATTCAATGACAACAAAAGGGCATTTTTTAAGAGCTCTATAAATTGAAAAATAATAGGGCAATTTCTTACTCGATAAATTACTGAAAAGATGAAGCTATAACTAAAATTGTAAGGCTGAAACTGGTTTTATAAATGGTAGCTAAAATCAAACATATTTAGAATTTTAATGAGCATACCAAACTTATCAATGGCTAATAACTCATGTCATGGGACACTAAGTTCTTATCTTTTGCTTCTAAATAACATTTAATGACAACATACCAACTTATAAAACAATATAGCAAGGCTTTTTAATTAAGTAATCAATAAAGTAAAGTTAGGGAGTTGTGTACCATGGTATTGTATATGAATGTTTGGCTTTTTTCCAGATTGCTTAAGCCTTTAACCTGCTCAAGTTGTCCTATTAAATAGCAAAAAATAGTATGTGTTAGATGATAGTTGTCCTATTAAATAGCAAAAAATAGTATGTGTTAGATGATAGTTGTCCTATGAAATAGCAAAAAATAATGTGTTAGATGATAATGAGTGATACAGGTAAAAAAAAATAAAGATTGGTTATGCTACTTTACAATCTTTAAAACTTATATAAAATTAAGCAATGTGAATAACAATTGAGGTAATTTGACATCTAACCTTGTTTATTTATTTATTTATGTTCCATTAAGAATTAAGTGGATAAAAATGTTGTTTAAAAATGATTATATGTTGTAGGATATTGGTTACTTTGTGAGTCCAAGGGAAAGAAGCTATGATTCTCTTGGGTTGATGAAACAGTTAAGTGAGCACACTGCTACTAAATATGCAACTGATCAAGAGGAAGAGGTCTTAGGAGATCAAACTCCAGATTCCATTCTAAACAAAAAATATGTAGAAAAGACTCAACAAGAAACAATTGAGGTAATTTTTTTTGGTATATTAAGTTTCAATGTTTGGATCTCAAGTGATGAAATACATAATGCCCTTGAATGGTTTTTCAAGAAAATGATTTAAATTAAAGGATTTTACATGTAAGCACAGAGAAAATTTGACCTGACTACACTTGATCAAAATACCCTTCAAAGATTTTTGAATAAAGAAACGATTTAAGCACTCCATTTTTTTCTTTATATGTTGCTAACTTTTCTTGATTTGCTTTATGTTCTCATAATTTAGTATCCCAATTTCAACCCTCCGACATCTCCTACTCCTTCAAGAATATAACTTGACTCTGCAAATCAAAGGCAATAAGATAACTAACCTTACTTTCACAAAACCAAGCTGATGCCTGATGACCGGCGATGACTAGCTGATAAGTGGTGACGACGATCGAAGAGGGGCTTTTTTTTACGTTAATGAGTGATGAGGGTTAGAAAGAAAAATAAACGAGGTAAACAGAATGAATGGAATTGGGATGGACAAACCATAAAAGGGATAAGTCCTCGGCCATTTTTTCTTAGAGATAATTCGGGTATACCAGAAACCCAAAAACGTACCCTATACCCGACCTGAAAAAAATCGGGTTACCTGAATACCCGAAAATTCTTACCTGTTACCCGATACCCGAAAAAATTGGGCAGGTAATTCGGGTATCGGGTATTTTCGACGTGGCTAATGTGATCTATTCTCATGGCACTCAAAACACTATTTCAAACGGAAAAAACTGAAATTAATGTGAATCCGATACCACATCAATGAGCCCCTTTTTAAAATCAATCCAAGCTATAGGATGTTACAATGTATGAGTTCCTTCAATTACATTCTGTAAAAATAGCTGAAATTAGTAAAAAGCACAACAACTCCAAACCTAAAAAGATCTTAGAAAGCCATAAAAAACCTATAGATATATAAAAAAAAAAAAAGAAAAAAAGCAACCTTGTTTTTCAGTCCATTCAAAGGCCAAGCTTGTCGTTCTAACACATCTCTAGAAGCAAATATATGAAAAAAGTTTCTCTTGGAAGGTCATTCTGATGAAAAAAAGGTGTATTGGAAGAGAAATTTGTAACAAAAGAGAAATAGAAGATCATAAGTACTAATCAACGAAACAAATGACAATCTACATTAACTAAACTAAAATACACAAGAAAAACACGAACAGTAACATACAGATTCTCAATTACCTTTGATAAAGTTAAATTAGGGTTCAAAACCTGAGGGAAACACCATGTTTGAAGTATCCACCAACAATTACAATGAAATAGTAAACAAATGCATCAGATAGGGGAATTGTACTTGAGAAACCAATCGATGGTTCAGAATCCTTCATAAATACGATGCCACAAGTTGATTTTAGCTGAAAATGAAGTAGATTTCATTATAGAAACAACAAAATACCTCTTAAGCTAAGAAAAGTCCGTGGGAGTTGCGAGGGGTTTTGATTTCATTGCAAATTGAAGAATACGACCCTGTGGACAGAAGATAAAATAAAATCGTAATTATAACTTAGTTCAAATGGTTAGTAGGAGCAAAGAGAGAAAATAGAGCTTATTTGCAGAAGCTAAAATCAACAGGTCGAAAACATATGTGGTAAAGTTAACGGTAACGATGAGAGGGAATGATGTAGAGTTAGATACACTAAGGAATCAAGACGTCGTCATTCACCTAATTTGTTGTCGTTAAAGTTTATATCAAGGCGTCGTCATTCACCATCAGCAACGGTGGTAAAGCCACCGGTATCAGTGGATGAATGGCGGTGCAGAGAAGAAACGTAAACCAAATAAATCGATTGGGTTAAGAGGCGGCGATCGGTGGGGTGCGTTTAGGGCTTGTGGGGGCCGAAGAGTCTGAAACCCACTTTCTAGGGTACGGGTTGGCGGAGGTCGACGATTCTCAGAAGAAGAAGAGACGGGCATTAATGGTGATTTCTTGACCAGATGAATGAGGTGGTAGAAGAGGTAACACTTATTGAGGAAGGATCGAGATCAGGTGGTGGGTTTAGAAGAACGAAACACATGGAAAATAAAAGAAGAAAATAGAACACGAGGAAAATAAAGGGCAAGAAAAAATAAAATAGAATACCGTATGAGACCCGAAGGGCAAAAAATATTTAAAAATAAAAAAAATAAAAAAACAAAAAACTATAACGACGAAAATTGACAATATTGGATGAAGTTCAATGTTGTTAAGTTTGGACATCTTTAATATTTAATATATTAATTGGCCAGTGGACCAATTGTTTCTTTATTTATAAAATTTGGTTGTTCAAAAAAATGATGACTCATACCAAAATTAGCCAGGATTTGTCCTGGGCTTCTAGCAACATCACATGCCCTTTCAATATGTAAATATGTAAAAACCTAGTCTTCAACAATAAAGAGACGACGACTGATGAAAGTGATGCATAAACGTTAAAAGGTGGAAGGTGGAAGGAATGGACGAGGCTTCGTCCACCAAGTTATATGGTTGGCAATGACAGAATCGTTAGATCTTTTATTTTTAATAATGTTTTAAAAACCGGTTTTTTAATTGAACCGGTCGAGTGATGTTTTCCGGTTCAACCGGATGGTCAAACCGGTTCTATATTTTTATATGTTTTTAATTATCCTGCATACATTGATTATAAAAACTTGTCATCTCTTTAGTATTACAAACGTAAATATAATGCAACATATAAAAACAATCATTATAGAAGTCAAAATCAAACAAAGAATACCAAAACAAACACAAAAATCCAAGAATGTTCGGTTCAACCCGGTCCATTCCGGTTCAATTCAGCCAGTTGAACCGGTTTTTTTACCAAAACCGGTCGGTTCAATCCGGTCGGAAAATCATTATAAAACCGGTCCAAATCGAACCGCCCTCACCTCCGGTTCCCGGTTCGACCGGTTCAACCGGCCGATTCGAACCGCTTTTTAAAACACTGATTTTTAATGTTTGTATAATTTATAAAGAAAACAATAATTTAGTTTTAACACTATTAGTTATGAAAACTGTTAGATTATAATTATTTAAGACAAAGAAATATAAATATGAAAATCTATTATAACCAGAAACAAAATTACGAGATAAAATCGTTATTTTCAAAAAAATATTAATTTTGCATCGTGTATTAAATAATTTTAAAATTACAATTTCATCACTTTTAGCAATTTTAGTTAAAGTCCTCGCAAAGCTTATATATATATATATATATATATATATATATATATATATATATATATATATATATATATATATATATATATATATATATATGGGAAAAGTGAATATGCTCTTAAGGGTATATAAGCTTAGGTACCCAAACACACTATATTAAATCGTTTTGTATCATATAATACATTTTAATTGTCTAATGTTCTTATAATTTAACTTCTAAATTGATGTACTTTCAAGATTTTTGTAAATTACACATTTATGTTCCTCTTACATAATTTTCATTTTCAACTACAATATATATAGCCTAGTAGATGTTCGGCAAAAAGATGTGATTCAAGAGAAAGATAATAGTGAAATTTCGAATATCTTGAAAGTAAATCAAGTTAAGGTTGAAGTTTAAGAACATTATAATAAATATATCAAAGAAAATGACGTATTATGATGTGTTTGGGTACCTAAGCTTATATACCCTTAAGGGTATATTCACTTTTCCATATATATATATATATATATATATATATATATATATATATATATATATATATATATATATATATATATATATATATATATATATATATATATATATATATATATATATATATAGACGGCTTAATTTTGTGAGACCATGAAATGCAATCCTAACAATTCATTTGGTAGATAAAACAAAAAACATTTTTAACTTGCAAAATAATTGAAAATTTCCAAAAAAAAAAAATTCAAATATTATTTTTGGAATTTATATTTTCCAAAAAAATAAAAAAAATACCATTAAAATATTAAAAATATTTTTTTTTTACATATTCTAGTAGAATAAACAGAATATTCTATATATCTGAAAAATCTAGTATAATATTCTAACATTCTAAAAATCACATTAGAATATTTACAATGTAATATTCTATTAGAATATTTCACGCATTTAAAAAAATGGTAATTTTTTTATTTGTTTATGTAATTAAAGTTCCGAAAATAATAATTAAAAAAAGAATTTTTAGATTTTTCCTTTTATTTTTCATTTTTAAATTATTTTTAAATTTGGTCTTACGGTTTCACAAAATTAGCGTGGTCTCAAATTAACCTGAACCTATATATATATATATATATATATATATATATATATATATATATATATATATATATATATATATATATATATATATATATATATATTAAACCCGTGGAACTCCACGGTTTAAAATTTGAAATATAATTATACTTTTGATAGTGTAAATAAAAATATATCAAATTTTAGAAATAATGATGAATTATAATATTGTAATATAATTACCATGAATAAATCAAGTACAGTAAATTATTATACAATAATAGTGAAGCAATCCCACTTGAAGCAACATTTAAAACAATATGACCATCTTTTCTAATAGTTGCATATATTGTCTTCCATAAAAAAGTTTTACCAGTTCCACCATAACCATAAACAAAGAAGACACATCCTTTATTTTGTTTAACTACAGTCCTGATATCAAGGAAAATGTGACGTTGCTCATTTGTCAATGCAAGAAATATACAATCAAACTCAATCTTCATAACGGGAATGTCATAATCTAGCTCCGCGATGATAAGTTGATTGTTTGAAGAAGAAACATAATCAACATCCGGGATAGGCATGTTTTTATAATTTTTTAGACTCAAGTTGTTCCGAAGTAAAATTTGTTCTATCTCGAACAAATTTAAGTTCTTAAGTTTATCTTTATTGAGTGATAAGTCTGTAGGAGAAAGAGAAAATTAATTTGAAATATTATTAACAATATTTGTATTATAATTAAAATATTAATTAATGTATGTTTAAAAATAAATAATTGATAATTTAATAAATAATAATAATAAACTTTAATACCTGGAGACTTGAATCTCTGTCGTTGGTTATAAAGAATTCCATCTGCCAAATATTCTCATGTGTTTTCCTAAACAACCTCCGCTTTAGACATACTATTACACATCAACAATGTAGCAAATAAGAATTGTAGGTAAAAACCAGATCTATAATGATTCGCTTCTTTGATTGCATTGATGTATTCTTTGTCATCATCCAAGAGACCAAGAGCATAACAAGCATCTCTAAAAGAAGAATATTCTTCACCATTTACTGTGCGAATTTCTTCAAATGATTTGGGACCTTTCACCTTATTTAACAATATCCTTAAAAGATAAGCTTCACCTAGATTAGGTGAAACCGAATGAATTCTACTAATGCACTTTCCTACTTTCTGTGGCTTCCAAATCCTAGCATCACGTTGCCAAACAAACTTTGTAGGAAATTCAACATACATAAGTTTCCGTGCATCCGCATTAACTGCATTACACTCCATCCAAGTTGTGGACATTAAAGAAGCAACATAAGATTTGTCCAGAACATCGTCAATATCATCGTCTTCCCCATATATAATTTGTTGTTGACCAGGAAGATGAAAAGGTAGTCTAACCACAGAAGGATACCTGTAATGAACATCATATTTAAAATTCGCCAGGATGCTTCACATGCAGATAAATATCTACAATCGCAGTACTCATTTATTTCATCAACCGCATCATTAGTATCACACTCATAATTGCTTCATACAATGCCAACTATAGCTCTATCAGGTCCCTTGTTTATGTATTTAAATAAATACTTTATAGAAGAACTCTGATTACACCATTCAACATTAATACGTACTTGATATCTTTTCAATAGATATTTTTTGTAAGGGACAACATTTCTATTATCCAACTTCACACCCGATTTTTCAATAAAATGACCATCGTTTCTTCTCCTATATAATGGAAAATCATTCTGATCAACAGACGTATGGTTACAGAATTGCTTTGGAAAGTTTTTTGAGTACTTTTTGTCGACCATACAAGGACAATTGATATTTTCAGCTCCACACGGACCATGAATCATGAACTCATTCACAAGAGAATACAATTATGGGTCTTCATCTATGTTTGGTATCTCAGTGGAAATTATCGGATCGATAAATTCAACAGTGGGTAACTTGTAGTCAGAATGCATAAATAGACATATATGACTATGGGGCAAACCTCTTTTTTGAAAGTCAATTGTACAAACAACTGCATAATATTTTGCACAAAAATCAAATATGATTATACCGTAATGAAAAATATAATAAATATAGCATAAAATTTTATCAATTATGAAGAAAC